CCTTGCGTTGTCTCGAGGGCATGAGCTGTCCGAGGTTTTTAGCTTGAGCTTCCTTTTCCATTCTCCCCACCTCGGATGCTGGATAAGACAGGCCGTACGGCATACGGGGCTGGTCGAGGGAAGAGGCTAGCTGTGTTGTTTCCCCGTCAGTGGATTCCTCGTATGATTCGGTGACCAGATGGTATTTTTTTCTTTGCACAGCCCAGCTGAAGCAGGAAATGACCGCTTCCATTACAACGGGGATGCCTGTTGTGGTTAAAAGAAAGAAACGGTACATGGCAGTACCCCGGATTCCACTGGAGCCCGGTCGATCCGATGTACACAGTAGGTTCTTGAAGCTTCGTACTGGTTTGTACCTCTTCCTCCCGCACCTGTTCACCATCAGTTGCTGTGTGGCTTTCCACGTTCTGCTTCTCAGCCAGTCACTGGACCACTTCGCTGGCGAGCTCCTCAGCCTAATGAGGCCAGATGAAGCCAGCCAGGCCCCTGCAATCCATGCCAGTGCAACGTGAGGAGAAAGAAGAGCTGGTACTTTTTTTTTTAGTATTTGATGGCGATCTCTGGGCAGGTGGGCCACCGTGGCGGTACATGGCCGTCGGTACCCTCCGATGCAAACACAGTTGTACCTTGGCGACTCCGTACGGATGACGAACAAGGCGCTGCTCGCTGATATAAGTGGCCAAGGCCCGCCCCAGCTTAATCGCATCCAGTTTCATCACCAGCTTTGAGACCGTGTTGCACCAACTTTGATCCCATAATCCATCCAATTCACTGACCCTCAATTGAGATACTGCGCACCCGTGTGCTTCTCTTTTGCCCATACAACCACCCTCCACAGCCTCCTCTCCTCGACAAGACCAACCACACCACTTCTCCCCCTCCTGCCCTGTCCAGAGAGAAAGTCCTCAAGGTGCGTACGATATCTAGCTACTCCCCCGCCTGTCTGCCAGTGAACCAAACCCCTCCATTCCCCGGCTCTCACCATTCGGGCGATTATAGTTGTCGCTCTCTCCGGGAGATTCCTGCCTGCAGCTCAGGAGGGTGCATGGCAGCATGGCCAGCCAACCCTCGTGGGCCTCGCAGCCACTCTTCCCGTGATAGCGACGGCCTGCCTCCCCTGTATGTTCTTGTGGCAGGACCGCACCTGGCGGTCAGGCTCGAGTGGTCGCTGTGCTTATCAGCGGCCCGGCCTCCACTAGACAAGAACCAGATCCTGAGCCCGAGCCCGGGAGTTTTCCAGTGACTCCTTATCTGCCGGCGCGAGGCTGGCGGGCCGGAGTCACGGACTAACACCCGGGTGGTCCTGGACACGCATTCTAAGCGAGTGTACCTCCAGAATCACCAGGCGTGAGGGCTTCACCCCCTTCGATAGGGTCGAAGCTTCTTGACGCAGGGCCTCCAGGCTGGCAGCTACCAGTGCAAGTGTGCTACAGTGCAGCTGGATCGACTCCCCGCATTGCCCCTGCTACGCTTATCTTGCATCAATTGCGATTCGGGGCTTTTTCTATCTCTTCACCGACAGTTGGTGCAGGAGCATGCGCTGACCCAGATCACACGTGTAGAAACGAGCGGTTCCAGAGTGGTTACACCAGAAACCGAGAGAGCCCTGCCTTCCTGCAACCGCGACAGCCCGCCCCCGGCATTCCTTGAACCGCCGCTTCCCTCCGTTATCGCCCAACCGCGCCATCCCCTCCTCGTCTCGCACCTTGAAAAGCATCGAGCTCGCGACCCCCTTACAACCCGCCCGTCATGTCTGCCACAGCAACCCAGCAGCCTCCCTCCATCCCACCACGCCCGTCCAGGAGTCAGGAGAAAGCATCATTACCAATGGTTCCTCCCCGCCCGGCCAACCGCCGGTTGGAGCGCTCCCTGAGCCCCAACCACGACCGCTTCGCCCCCTCGCCGCTCAACGAGGCCCTCCTGTCCAAGTCTACCCGCCAGTCGCTCGCGCCCATCCAGCACACCAACAATGGCGACCGCTCCAAGTCGGTCGAGATCCCCTCCGCCGCCGGTGAGGAGGGCCTGGAATACGCCGCCATCTCGGAGGAGGCGAGCAGCCCCGAGCACACCCGCACCGTCGGCGACCTCAAGCTCTACGCCCCAAAACCTTCGCTGCCTGCCGTTAGCGCCAAGCAACGCGTCATGGCCGTCACTCGCACCGACAGCGACAGAGCGGCTGCATTTGGCATCGGCAGGCCCAGCAGCAACGACGACTCGACTCACCAGCTCCCCTCCAACCGCAGCCTGAAGAAGAAGGCTAGCACTACAAGTCAGCTGTCAACCACGGAGAGCCAGTTCGATGAGGAGCACGGGATCCCAGAGATTGGCCAGCAGGTGCCCATGTACCCCAACGCCGGCGATGTTCAGGCGCCCTCACCCGCCCCCAGCGCATTTGAGGCTTCTAAGAAGCACCACACCCGCAGGACCTCTTCTCGCGGCATACCCCCTGGAAGCTACGGCCTCCACGGCCACGGCTTGGGGGGTCAAGAAAAGCTCGACAAGCTGGACAAGGCCTACTACGAGAAGCATCCAGAGGCTCTCAAGAAGGAGAAGACATCGCACCACCACGATCGTGCCAATGATTTTTCCATGTCCAAGTCCGACCTGGAGAAGATTGTCCGAGAGACAGCCAGCCGCGGGTCCGGCATCGGTGAGCAAAACAACATATACCTGTTTATCGACTCGAGCTAACTCCTTGCAGCTGTCAAGAGCGACTTCGCTGGCACTCCGAGCGAGTACGTGGCCTACAAAGCTTTGGACGAGAAGGAGAATCCCAAGTTCACCCTTTCGGACACCGACGCGGTCCACGTCGACCCTGCTCATCAAAGCCCGGAAATGTTCAAGACAGTCGATCTGCCCTCCGAGTTTGAGGATGACCGCCACGAGTACACCGCCCCCATCTTGGCCGATGATGAAGTCGCCAAGGACCCGTCCCCATACCAACAGCCGGCCGTCGCGCCAGGCAAGGAACTCCGCGGAAGTGCCCTCGAGATGGACGAGTCGGTTAGTCGCCCGTCCAGCAGGCCCACGAGCCTTTACAAGGAGCCGTCCTTCGAGAAGCAGTCCACACCCCTGGAGGATGTGGAGGAATACGAGCCTCTTTTTGGAGATGAAGACAAGGCCGCCAAAAAGCCGGCTGTCGAGGAGAAGCCCAAGAAGGAGAAGAAGCAGCGCTTCCCCAGCGCGGACGTCTGGGAAGACGCACCTAGCAGTGTGCACTACACCGCCGAGGTTTCTACGCCCGATATCTCGGAGGAGCCGACCAAGTTGGCCACTGCGACAAGTTCTCCCCCTCGAGATACTGAGACGCCTGCTCAAGCTTTTGCCCGCCACCAGGAAGAGCTGGCGGAGAAGGAGGTAAGGGAGGGCGGTCCCGAGTGCTTTCTCCCCGGTCACAAGAAGAAGAAGCCCTCATGGGTGGAGCATCAACCACATCTCGCAAGCCAGCCTGCCTCTCGACCCCAGATGGGGCAGAGGTTCCCGAGTCGCGATGTCTGGGAAGACACGCCCGACAGCCTCTTACTCGAAACGACCGTGTCAACTCCGCAGAACGACGACTCAGCAGAGCAGTCAAAACCCGAGTCGCCCGAAAGCTCAGCGAGGCCTACCATTCCTGATCGGCGACCCAAGCCCAGGCAAGGATCCGCTGATGACAAGCCTGCGATTCCGGATCGGCCCAAGCCTCAGATCCCTTCCCGTCCTGCCAAGGCGGGTCCTACTTCCGGTGGACTGGAGCCTGCTGAGGCCGCCGCGCCACCCAAACAGAAGCCCGCCGTGCCTGCGCGCCCAATGGGCTCCAAGATCGCGGCGCTCCAGGCTGGGTTTATGAGTGACCTGAACCAGCGTCTGCGACTCGGCCCCCAAGCCCCGAAGAAGGAGGAGCCCGCGGCCGAGGAGGCGGTCGAAGAGGAGAAGGAAAAAGCGCCGCTCTCTGATGCGCGTAAGGGGCGAGCTAAGGGTCCCCAGAGGCGAGCACCAGCAAAGAGCGCCAGCCCTGCACCCTCGGCGGCTAAACCTGAACAACTCAAGCTGGTGTTCTCACAGGCCATCACTCTCTTCGAGATCGACCCAGAAGAGGGGGAGCTCAGTCTTCCCGTTCAGTCTGCCGAGCCTAAAGCCGTCGAGCAAGCCAAGGAGGAGCCCGAGCAGGAGCCCACCAGCAGTGCCGCCGCTGAGGACAAGGAGGCCCAAGAGACCAAGGAAGAGCCTAGCAGCAGTGCCGCCTTCGAGCCCAAGGACGCCGAAGAGACGGACAAGGCTGCAGAGGCCGATCCAGTCGAGGAGAAGGCCGAGCCAGTTGAAGAGAAGGTCGAAGACACCAAGGTGGAGAAACAGTCACTTGTGACCAACACTGCTGGGGAAACGATCTTGGAGGAGACGGTCAAGAAGGCGGCGGACGGCAACAGGGGCCTTCCGGTTGAGCCCATCGCCACAGAGGAGCGATGAATTGATGACGGCTAGGAACAGGACCAAGAAAAGTTGTTAGTTGTCTTGGTGGCTTTTGTTTGCTTTATCGGATGGCTGCGTCGGGTCCTTTCGGTAGCTTACGGGCCGGTCGGAGGACTTTGCTTTGTGAACCAAAAGGCATTTATTTTCATTGCCTGTGTTTTTGTCTTTGGCAGCCTAGACCTTTCTTTATTTCGCTCACTCCTTTGACAGAAGACACTGGCAAGTGTCATGCGCGAGGCTGATAGTCCTTCATTCAGGCCAGCATCACGGATAGATACCTACTAGCACACCGGCCTTGAGTCCTTGACTGAGGAAGCAGTGCTTTTCTTGCCACGAACAGAACTCGACCAAACAATCTGCCTTTGTCACTTGCATTTGTGATCAAACTTCACTCAGAGAATTGTCAAGCCCCCTTGTCCTCCACAACCTGGAAGCATCCACATCCACCACACCAGAATCCAGACAGGGCATCGACGGCTTGACTCGCGACAATCCACAACGAGGTGATGAACCCCTCCCCCATGCAGCCTTACCACAGCCAGCACACCCAGGGCAACTTGGCCGATCTATTTAAGGCGCCACATTAGGGAGATATCCTTAATCATCACACAACATCTTGACTTATAGGGTTCATCTCGATGAGAAGTTCCGTGGTCCGAAAGGGCGTGGGTTCAAATCTCACAGTTGTCAAGCTGATATTTTGCTGCTGTGGTCATCGCTATGAGCCTTTTCTTTTGTGTGTGCTGTGTGGAGGAGGTCGGGTGGAGAGAAAAAGGGGTGGGGAGATGGGACGGGTTGACACGATAGGAGGGGTTTCGGAGCATGCACATCACCAATGAGCACCAGGACCGCTGGCGCAACGGTAGCGCGTTCGACTCCAGATCGAAAGGTTATCCGTTCAAATCGGGTGTGGTTCAATTCCCAAAATTTCAAGCCAACCTTGTAGAGGTTGATATCCTGTGCTCTTTTTTGGTATTTTTGGTGTTTTCAGGGGAGGGAGGGTGGAATGTTTTTTTTTGTCGGATAAGGAGGGATGCTGGGAAGGGGGCTCGGGGGGTTGAAGTTTTGAGACTGCTTTTGGTGCTGGTTTTGGTGAAGAAGGAGAATAGGGAAAGAGTTAACATCGTCGACTTTACAACGGCATGTCCTTCCATCGACATTCGACATTCCACCCCTCGACGATACCGCCATAGATAACACTGATCCGCACCGATCGCGCTCGAACAGATCGGACGCTGCGGTAGCAAGTACCGTACTCCAAAGCTAACATGCAGAGAACTCGAGCCTCTAGACAAGCCCTCTTTTCGAAAGCACGCTCCCAACTAGACCGGCCCCAAGGTTGTATAGTGTAGCGGTCATCACATCGGATTCTGATGTCCTCCTCCTCCTCCCCGTGGAGAGAACCAGACATTCCGGGAACCCCGGTTCGATTCCGGGTACGACCTGATCATGCAGGGCAGTATATGTTCTCTTTTTGCATGCCTCCTGGAGAGGATATGGTCCGTCGTTCTTCTTTTTCCCTCGCGTTGCGGTGTTGAGAACCTCCATTGGCCCCTGAGACGAGGGCTGAGCAGGTCAACATCAATGAACAAGACAAAAAAGACGCTAGAGGACACTGACAAAAAGAAACACTACAGCCGTATCGCCATCGGGAATTGAGCCCGACGTGGGGGTCGAACCCACAACCTTGAGATTAAGAGTCTCACGCTCTACCGATTGAGCTAGCCGGGCGATTGGTGTGTGTGTGTTTGTAGATGGGCTTCGGTGCGGGTATTAGGGTTCATCGCGAAGACAACCTCGGCAGGTGGTGAGGTGGTTGTTTGTGCATGGTTATCACGACTCGTGGCGCAAAGTTGCCTGGTGTTGTGCCTGTTGCCGAGGCATCCGTGCAGAAACATCACACCAGTCCCGTCCAGCGTCTTCCAGGTAAAGAGAACATAGTCCAGTCCTTGACAACTAATCTAGGGGTATCTTTGTCTCATCATCACCACAAGCCTTCCCTGATCTCCTCCTCACACCCTTCAATTCTTCCGTCAGCCGCCCCGTCAACCTCTCCAGGATCCATTCCGCTTCCTCCATGCTCCCCATCAGCGGGCTCTTGGCCCCGACCCACGACCAGGAATCATCTCCGGCCTTCCCCTTGTCCTCTGGTGTTCGTTTCTTGTGCAAGGTACGGTGGATGTGCTTAGGGGTGCTATGCTTCTCGGCATCTCCCTCGTCCTCTCCCACGAGCCGCAGATACCATGCCCATTCGGAAAACGTGTACTTGCGCGGCGGCTTGCTCTTGAGATGCTGCATGACGCGGCCGATCTCCTCGACAAGGGTGATGTGATAGTCGACTGGGTTTGAGGGAATGTCGGGGAGGGACTGGCGGGGGATGGAGACGGCGCGTGTGAATTTGAGCAGGGACTCGTTGTCTTTTTTGAACCCCCTTTTCCGGTTGGGGTGGGGGTCGTTGGTGAACGAGACGCTTCGGTTGGAGTGTATGGAGGCTTGGGGATGTTTTCGTAACTTCATCCCTGAGGCATCCTCGGCGACCTCCGAGTCACTCACGGTCCCGGAGACATCCATGGAGATTTCGCTGCCGGCCCCGAGACTGGAGTGTCTTGATGGTGCAGGGCGGTCCTCCGATGCCGTGTTGGCGTCGACTCGCCTTGAGTGGATGGCGTCGTCGTGAGCGTCTCTGGATTTCTTCTCGTTGGCTTCGTCTGGAGCGGCACCTTCAGCCACGAGGTCGCCCTGGTCCCGTTCGAGGTCGGCTTCGAGGTCATCATTTCCATTCCCATTCCCTGCGGCTCCCGAAGTGTCCCCCAGCAACCCGGCCGGCTCTTCGCCCGTCTCTTCATCCTCGTGAAACAGCTTGCCAAACGAAATCTTGCCCAGGATCTGTTTCAAATCTTTCTTGAAGCCACGTTCGCCTGGCAAGATGGTGATGGTAGCGATCTGGTCGGTTCCATCTCGGATAACTTTGACGACGGTGTCGCCGGCGTTGGATATGAGCACCGTCATGGTGGGTAGAGCCAAAAGCGCCCAAAAGACCCAAAAGGATTTCCCGCCATTGGATACGGGCGTCAAATCTCCATACCCAATGGTCGTAAGTCCCAGAAACGCAAAGTAAAAGCCGTCAAAATAGCTCCAGCCCTGATATGGCTCCTCGCACACCCTAAAGATCTCGGCACCCACTAGCCACAAGACGAGCCAGGTCGTCGTCGAGATGGCCATCGAGTACCACCGCCTGCGGCGATCCGCGACGTCTTGGATCTTGCGCATGAGCTTGAACTCGCCTTCACGACGCTCAAACTCCGTGAGGCCGGTGGATGCGGTGGAGGGAGAGGATCGTAGATTGGGGGGTTGCTGCCCGTCCGAGATGGGAATGAGCATGTCGTCCTTGCCCTTTTTCACCATGCGCCGGAGGGTCTGTCGACGTTTGCGCTCAACAACACGAGCGTCGAAGCGGCGGCGGGCGCGCTCCAGCATCAAACTGCGGATGGACCCGATAACGAGACCGAGGCTGATGATGCCGACGAGCGAGTAAGGGACGAGAAGACCTTTACCTAGGGAAGTGACTGGGTACATGTCGCCGAAGCCAACGGTGAAGAGCGTCACAGCGGCCCAGTACACGGCGTCCAGATAGTTCCATTTCTCGATCTTGCAAAAGACGAGGGCGCCGAGCAGGAGATACAGCAAGAACATGATGGTCTGCAGCATCAACGTCCGCTGGCTGGCCGTAAGCATGAAGTCCTTGGGGTAGTGTCCCGCCTGAGCGCCAGCAAAGGTGGTGGCCATGAGGGAAGCGACGACAAAGTACAAGACAGCCGAGTATATGGCGTAGTAGAATGCCTGGGACCAGATGTAGTCGATCTCGGGCTGGAGCACCAGAGGACCGGCGGCGGTTGCGGTCAAGGCGATGAGGCATATCGAAGAGATGTACCAGCCGACAATAGTAATGGGCTGCGCGATGGAGAAGCGCAGGCGGCGCGTCATGTTGAGCAGGAGGGTAACGTTGGCGCCGAGCGCGAGGACTAGCTGCACCGCGTTGACAGCTGTAAGCCATAGCGGGTCGGCGACGTAGGTGGCGTCGTCAAGGACGCTGCCAGCTGGGTAGTACTGTCGCCAGGGGCGCACCAGGGCAAGAATACTGAAGGCGGATGCCACAGGACCCAGGGTGCCGGCGATCATGGGAAACGCCGATGCGGCGAACCACCAGCGGCTGGGGTCCTCATGGTGAGAGTGCTCATCGCGTGGGTGCTGGTCATGTAGACGCTGATCCTGTTGACGGTGCGGTTGCCTCTCGGGGGTGGCGTTGGCGTCGTCGTCGTCCTCAGCGGCACGAACATGCTCGTCGACACGCTCCCCGCCGGCGTCGTTCATGGCTATGGCTGGGGGCGGGGGTGGGATAGATGCATCTGGAGTGAGAACTGGCAAAGTAGCGATTAAATAGCGAAAAAGTGTTCGTGTTGTTGGCTCCTGCGTGTCATGGACGAGAGGTCAATTGACAATGTGCGATGGCGATGTCGATGTCGATGGTAAAAGGTGCAGCCTTCTTTGTTCTGAGGGGGGGAGAGAAACCGAACAACAAAGTTAGGACCCACGAACCCGACCGAAATGGCCTAAAATTCAAACGTTAGCCATCGAATAATTAACTATCAGGGAAGCTTGTTTCTCACCTCAAATCACCTCAGGGGCGTTGGTGACGTCTGTTTTCAGGGGGGACAGAGCACTCGGTCCGGGTTGGAGGAAGATGTTTCGGTGGCAGCTCCCACTGGCTAGAAATTGACGGAGTGTACATGTTTTTTTGTTCCAGGGCGGGTGTTAATCAGCACCCGTGACCGCCGTCGTCATGGCTTGCTGGTGTTGAACCAGACTCTTGGAATGGACCACAGGCTATTCCCAAAAAGGCAGTCCTCGTTTCCGGCATCGCCTCGACAACCCATTCCATTGGAACATCTACCTCTGCTCTAGAACAAATAAAATAAAACAAAATAAAACGTGTGACCTCAACCTGACTGATATCAGGGCACATCTATATACGGCAATATGAAAGACAAACTCTTTCCTCCCTTCTTCTCGTCCACATCCTCCTCTCCTCTCCTCATCAACACCCCCCCTTTCACCGACTCAGCCTCGCCCACCCCTTCCTGCCCCTCTTCTTGCCCTTCCCCTGCTTCGCCTCGTAGCCCTCCTCTTGCACATTATGCCTCCCCACCACCTCCAAAAACACCTGATCCAGCGTCGTCGGACTGACGCTGTAATGCTCAATCCCCAACGCCTCCCTATTCTCCTCCAACAGCACCACCAGTCTCCCAATCGCCGACGCCTCGCCCTTCTGCTTCTCCCCCTGAATCTCCTCCCCCTCTTGCCCACCCCTGACCCCGACTACCGCCTGCACCGGCACACTAAACCTCATCTGCCCATGATACGTCTTCTCCTCGACCTCTGCCCCATTCCACATCCCCAACACCCACCCCCTCACCCTCCTTACCTCCTCCTCACTCGTCCGCGGCGCCCCCCTACACACCAAATGCACATACAACCGCCCGCCAAACCTTCCCCTCAACGTCTCAATGCTCCCCAGCGCCAACATCCTCCTCGCCAGAATCCCCGCCCTTCCCGCCAACGCATCCGCCTCCTCCATCGAATGCGTCGTCAGCAAAATACTCCTCCCCCCCGCCGTCGCCGCCAGCGTCCGCCACATGACTCTCTTCGCCGCGGCATCCAGCCCGCTCGACGGCTCATCCAGCAGCACCACGCTCGGATTCCCCATCAGCGCAATCCCTAGCGACAGCTTCCGCTTGTTCCCGCCCGACAGCGCGTGCGCCTGCCTGTCGCGAAACGCCGTCAGCCCCACGGCGCGCAGAATCACCCCGACATCGCGCTCCGCGTCGTCGATCCCCCGCACGCGCGCGTAGAAGCGCAGGTGCTCGGCGACGGTCATGGTGTCGATGGCGTCGAACTGCGGACAGACGCCGAGGTGGCGGCGCGCGGCGGAGAGGTGGGTGGTGACGGAGGCGGACTCGACGAAGACGTCGCCGCCGTGATGCGGGTCCGGGGAGAGGTCGCCGCGGATGACGGAGATGGTGGTGGACTTGCCGGCGCCGTTGGGGCCGAGGAGCGCGAACACTTGGCCGTGCGGGACGCCAAAGGTGATGTTGTCGACGGCGGTGGTGCGGCCGAAGGATTTGGTGAGGTTGAGGACGCGGAGGCCGTCGGCGGGGGACGGCGCGGAGGGGTCGGCGGGGGTGGTGGTGGATTTGATGCGGACGAGCTCGTGCGCGATTTCGGTGTCGAAGATGTTGTTGGTGGCCTCGTCCGAGGGTGGTGGGGTGCGGCGCCGGGAGAAGAGGCGATTGAGCTTGGCGGAGGCGCTGCCGCTGTCGAAGAGGAGGAGGAGGCCGAAGAGGAGAAAGATCTGGAGGAAGAGGTAGAGGATGGGACCGCCGTACTG